TTGGTCCAAAGTGCGCTCTCTCCGCGACCGTATCAATGACGGGGCCGCGACCTTTTGGCCACCCTGCGGTTGCTCCTCGTGCGCTGCCCCGCCATCTCCGCCGCCGCGACGTCGTCGTAAACACACGGCCGTCCTTTTTCTCTCGTCGCGTCTCCCGTTTCGACGCAACGTGTCGTCGCGTGTCGTGACAGACGATCAGGGTTATCTTTGCTCCGTTATCACTGTAATTCCCGGATAACGCCGCTAATGGGACAACCGCGTATGACAACACCGGACAGCTGTACACGTCGTGCAAGCGTTCGACTGTCAACAGGTTGCGGGACAGATGAACCGAAACAGTCCGCGACATAGTTTATCGTCCAACATTTCGGTATGTATACTACTCGTCAGAGTAAATAAATAAGTGTTGCACGGTAGTGTCTCGATGCGACGCAACGAGAGTCGGGCCTGACGATCGTCGAAAAGCGTGGATAAGACAATCTTTCCTCGGGACCAATTGAACCCCGACACGGGGGCTGTGAACCATTCATCGAAACTTCTTAACACGTTTGCCTGCCAAGTTGAAACTCACGAAAATTGTTGCAAAGTGAAAATTATGTCTCGAGACTATCGATAATTAGATAAGTTGGCATTTGTCGTGGTATTTTAATGTCGCCAAATTCACGAATCCTAACCAGATTTATTTTAGTCCCTTAACTTAAAGTTCTGTCACCCATGCCTGGATGATGTGGCGACCAACGTGTTAAACTCTGTGCGTTTAACATTCTTTGAATATATACATTTCATCTTTGATTAGGTCATACAGTCAGTGTAAGAATTATTCGTACAGCAACCCATTTAAAATAAATGGTTCCTGTACGAATACTTACTACACTGACTGTAAGTAATGTTCACTCTTACGTCACCGTAAAGAAACATCTTTATGTTTATCATGTTCTATCGATTAGAACAATTGGATAATTTTTTAAACAAATCTTCGGTGATACGTTTGAATATCGCCGAAGACTACGATAAATATCAGATTCCCCGTGGAATGACACGCGTCAACGGATGTCCACCCGCTGGCAGTAGTAGGAGTCAGTAATTTCTGACACGGAGGAACACCTTCGAACGCAATATTGTCACTATCGAGTTTTGCCTGGGATAAATTGTTGGAATAAATAGTTATTCAAAGAATAATCTTGATGTACTAAAGGAAAAGAATGTTTTGCTTATGGAAAAAGAATATTACCTTATGGAACTTTTATAAATAATTCACATTTTAAACAGTGTCGAGTGTGTTTTGTTTCTTTTAGTTTCTTATTTTTTCCACGTTATATGTGTCAGTTCATGTACTAGTGCGTGTACACCATGTACTCCGTGTATCTTTTTCCATGTGTTTAGAATCTAATTGTATCCAGTGTAATCATTATAAGTATTACGAATCCTTTCAATAAAACTAAACATTTTTTTATTTAAGTAGTTTGAGAAGTTTGAGGAAGTTGAGGCCATTAACTTTAGTGCTGTCTGTATCACTGACTCTTTCATCCTTCGTGGATGATTTCGCCGTGATGCATCGGTGGGGGTCAACCGACTCGCGTCCCGTCACGCTCGACACGACGACGAGCAGTCTGGAACCGTGACCGTTCTCTTTCATTCTTTCACGATTTTGTCTGCGTAATTGAACGAGGGAAAGAACGCCTAATCGAGTATACACGTCCAATTGAAACGAAAGAGCAAAGATAATAAGGAGTACCAAGTATCGAATCCTCTTTCGAATATGTACTATTTTTACAGTGGGCGTAGAAAGTATTCGTACAACTGTACGATTTTTAAAACTTGATTAAAAAAAGAAGAAATTTACATTAATTTACAAGTATATAATATATGCTTAACTAGTACATAAATGAACTAAATTATTAGTTATTTCGAAGTGGGATCTTCTTTGATTCCTCTATTAGAGCCATTTTTAAAAGTACTTTACTGGAAATTTCATGTTTTCTAACTCGTACAGAGCAATAAACTAATCTGTTTACGTTACAAGCTCTACTATAAATGGTTCGTCATAAGAATCGTACAAATACTTATTGCTTCTATACTTTTACTCGCTTTTCGCATTTTTTTGTTAATTTCGCAAATTATATCAACTAGTAAATGTTGTTTGGACTATATCCATCTCAGAGACTTCCGAGAATATGTAAAATATCATTGATAATAAAAAAAGAAGTTAAGAAACTACAATTTCATGCAAAAGTCTTTTGGGAAATTGATCGGTGTACGAAATACATTCTACACCCACTGTATGTAATTTCGAATATTTTTATCTAATTTCACCGTACAATAATATCGGTAAACTAAAATGTATAAGCTAAATCAAAATTTGCACGCTTTCTTTAGCGATAGAAATGCAAAAGAATGAACCGCAAGTGGCCTAAGACTTCTCCGCGGTACTGTATATTGCATTCAATGACAGTGAACGTGTCAATCGCGAGTTTTTCTACCGCGGCCGATCGGTTTGGTTATCTTCCTTGAATTTTTCTATCTAGTTCTCACGAAACGCTAATCTCTTCCTACTCGGTCTGTGCTTTGTCGTATTTGTCTCCGACCGATCAAAGTCGAAGCGGATAACGATTAACGGGCACGATTATATAACGTACGTCCTGTATATTAATTAAATACATGCGACGAGAAGCGCGGAATGAAGTTGAGGAGCTTTGACATTCTGGCCTTGAATATACCGCAGAC